GATCACCGCTTCACGATTTCCGCTTCATGGTTCCCGCTTCTCAATCCCCACTTCACGATACCCACTGAACGATCCCCGCTTCTTGAGTTCCGCTTCTCGATCACCGCTTCTAGATCACCGCTTCTCAATCCTCGCGTCACGATTCCCGCTTCTCGATTCCCGCTTCAGAATCCCCGCTTTACGATTCCCGCTTCACGATTGGACCAATTCCCCCTTACCTACGAACTCCGTTCCGAGATCCTAATATTTTTGTCTTACTCCGCGTCGTGACCCTATCACTTCCTTGCGACTCCTGCTTGGAGATCCAATTCCTTTCATGTGAATCCCGCTCCAAGAATCGATTTCTTCTGAGTGAACCCCGCTCCATGATTCGATTCCTTCCGTCTGACCTCCGCTTCGTGATTCTATCACTTCCCTCCGACCCCCACTTCGAGATCCGATTCCAGCAACCCCCGCTTTGTGATCCAATTTCGGCCGTTTGACTCTCGCTTCGTGATCCTATCACTTCGCTGAGACTCCCCCACTTCTAGATCCAAATCCTTCCCAGTGATATTCGCTTCGTGATCCTTCGTGATCTATTTAAGTATCTCTTTATATTCAAGAAGTGATAGTTCTTAAGCCCGCCAGCCAATGCTGTCAATGTATTATTCTATGCGCCTAAAAAACTATTAGCGGTACGACACTTGGTATAGAAGACATGATTTCAAAAATTGTAATATTGGAGTTGTAAGCGCCATTAGCTAGTATAAACATGAGGCTCGGTAATTCAGAGACTCGTCAGTGGTGCGTAAGGAAGAAAATAAAGGGAAGTCCGTGACCTATAAACGCAGTCTCGTTGTGATTAACTTCAGAGAAGTCTATTCTGTTTGATTCTAAAGTCTATTACTGTGTACTTGCATGAATCATTTCAAGAGAAAATACGCCACCAAAGGAATAGATTGTTATACAAGTGTTGAATCACACTAGATTGAGAAGATCTTCAAAAAGAAAATAAATTATACAACAATTTCAATGACATTCAAATTCATATCAAAATAGTTCACATTTAAAACTTCAAAAACAGGATAACGGAAAACAAAAAAATATGATCGATACATTTACACATATTAGAGAAAATGTCATTCAAACAACTTAGTTGATATCTCTCTTGTTGGAGGGTATGTTTTATAACATACTAAAGGTATAGTGTTCCTTATTCCGTGATATCAATCAGTTATGTGATTCTTTACTCCTGAGAAATGACTTAGAGGTGTATTATGTATGTCATGATTTTTTTCTTCCTCTTCTGTTATTCAGCTACAAATTTATTTTCAATTCCATTTATATTTTCGCCAGCTTCTCCGAGTTTTGCTTACTTGACTTTCACAATTCGACTTACACAATACTTAAATGTATGTTCTTTTTATGTGCCTCACTTCCCTCTCAATGAAATTGGAACTAGATCTCAAATATGATCTCTTTTGAATTTCGTTGTTGCATCTACGGAATGAGTTGCAGAAAACGCATGTAGCAATTTCGTTTCTAACTTTCTCCCTCTATGAGATCAAGAAGACTTCCATTACTGTCACAAGGCACTCGTTCTATTGAAAATAACATTTCTAATGGAAATTCGTACTCTCGGCCGTTTTCAAACTGTCTGTAATAACAGTACAGGTGACTTGCATTGTCATTCGTGACAAAGAAAACTTTTTTTTCGTTTGAAGATTTTTAATTCCCTGTTGAAAGCAGTTCTTTCAATTTTCCAATATTTGTTTTCTTGACCTGCTAGAGGCAGTTTAATTATATTATTCTCGATATTTCATTTCCTCGAAATGTACTTGGGAAAGTTCTTTCTAATTTGTCGAAAAACATGTAGCCGGAAGAGAGATTCCAAATTCCAGAGGATTTATTTTAATGAAACCTTAATTCCAAACAAAGCGTTAAAATGCAAAGATAGCGTAAAAACCTCGTGTGAAATTTCAAGCTGCTTACACAAAAGTTGTAAAAGGAAGCGAAAATTAGTCTGACCAGAAGGAATTTAGAAATACGTGTTTACTTTCTCTTGTGAGGTGCCAGAGCAGTTACAAAACATTAAAGCGCAGCACAGTGTTTGTAAGAGACTTTAAAACGAAAGATTACCAAATACTGTTGCCTTTTTAGATGAACTTAAAGAGCTTCACTTATTACTTTTCTACTTTAATATTGTTTAGAGTGTTTTATCCTGTCTCAATTGTGTACAAATTCAACGAAAACACGAAAATTTTGTTTGTGCTTCTGAATATGATGCCTTTGTATCTTTCCTTTTATTGATTAATAATTGTATAATACTTCACATAGAGACCGACTGTTTTAGTAAAAGAAATTAAACAACCTCATATCCAGTCTTGTGGAACAAATTAGGATTAAATGGGTTCGTATGTCCTACTCTAGACATACTTGTATCTTCGTTATTTCTAGTGTTTGTGTTGATGTTTCACAAAACCTATGTGTAGCATTCTTGCTAGAAGAACAAACTTCAATATGACTCACAATTGTGTCGTATTAGTTAAAGACACCTAAATAACGTACTACTTGAAAACATATTATGTTGTAATATGTCCGAAACATGGGTTCAGTGGCGATATTTTTGGAAATAATGGCTTAGTTTCAGTAGTATTAAATGACAATGTAAAACACTTCTGCGCCAACTGAGAACGTGATTGCGAATGAAGTGGAACTAATAACAATTATTTACGCGAAACCACAAAATCTAAATCAGTTGAAAACCATTTTCGTAGTTAGGGAGTGGGTTACTCTAACATCGCCTTCTCGCTTTTGGTGACCTCCATTTCAAAAACAGAATTGAGTGTAAAAGTAATCCCGTGAAACAAAAACGATGACAATAAGTCAATCTTACCATCATTTTACCCAAAATGTTGAGAAACGAGGAAAATCGTGCTCGTTTCCTTTCAACTACTTTAATCGTCGAGTAAGTGTCCTAGGTGTTTCCACGTGCCCCTCAGTCCATGCTTCTGGACCGACGATGTTCGCTCGCTAGACAACCCCCGCAAAGCTTTGTACCTCCGCAAGAGCACTTCCCGCGGACAAAGCAGCATCGAGCAGCTCCCGGGAGTTCAGGCGACGTCGGAAAGTGCCACGTTACCGAATAAAAGAGAACTCTGTGAATAGATTAGATTTCAAAAGCAGATTGAATTGAGTCTTTTCATCGTGAATTGCAATCGTGGTGTCCCCCCGTCCGTCGTTATCTCTCTGTGCGAAGGAGCGAATACGCCGTAAGAGGTGGGTGAGAATGAGGCATAAGTGGGAGTTCCCCAAGGTCCGCTTTAACAACCGAGCCCATTCCCGCGAAGCAGATTACCTTTTCTACGCTATCATGCGTGGTTACTACTCTAGCTTCGCGCTCGGTCGATATCTCCCACAAAGCGTCAAGTTTGCAGTAAAAAGTCACTTTTTGTAATGTCCAGATGCCCCATTAAATTTTCTCGTGTCAAGAAATCTAAATATAAGAGTGATGCGTGTAGGACTTTATTACAGCAAATAACACATACGAAATTTTAACATGGCAATTAGGCAATATACGTTCGCAAAACCATTTAACTGTGAAATTAAAATATCAGTTAGAAGTTATTTTCATAGTTTGGATAATTTTCTTCCTTGTGCTCGATTCCGCAAAGTATTAGTGTTGTTACAGAATAATAAATCTAAGCTAATAATACAATTTTCTCAAAACCTGAAACCACCATGAGAGATCCATTTCAATCCTTCTGGATTACAATTTTGGACATCAAACTTATTAAATGTTGTGTGTTTTGATGTAAGTCTAGAAAATAAGATGTAAGTGTAGTTCTTAAGAATTCATTATCCGTTTTTCTTAATATTAAAAACTCAAATGACTCCAATCATCAATGTAAATTTATTGAAAAGTAATTTGTTTTATGTTTTTATGGAATCTTGCAATACTTTTTAATTGACATTTTACTTTCAATACTTATCGTAGTTATCATTTTAGTATTTTTGTCATTAGATTTATTTTCAAAGCTCGAAGGGGCAGTGAGTGTAAACTAAATTTGGTTCTGTAGATTCAAGTCACAGGCAGCGTATTTTATCGATTAGAATTACGGGCTAACTGAATAAATAATCTTATATATGAATACTCGTGTATTCCGCAGAAGTACATCTGCAAGAAATAACGACCTGCTCGCCTGCTATTTTCCTTTCGCGGGACTCCTTCCCACGCCTTCCGGGAAGCGGGTTCCCGGGGTGGCTTCCGGCGCCGATAGATAGCAGCAGCTGTCAAGAGCTGTCCGTCGTTGGCGGGATTTCTTGTTTGGCTTGGAGGATCCGTCGGGGAGCCATCTGTTACATCGGTGCAGACAAGTGGAAGTGAGTGCGTTATTCTTTCGGCGGGTGGGCGGGCATAGCGAGGGAGAGAGAGAGAGCGGGAGCGGTCTATCTCGCGCCCGGCTGCACTCCCGCGCACTGACGGATGGCCGACGGACGACGGGCGGCGCGGCTATTATTGACGGGGTCGGCGGGTGCCGGAGAAAGTCGGAAGGCAGCCGCGAGGTGGACGGTGGGTGGTCGGGAGTAGCAAAGGCGGGGTAGTAGAGGGAGGGGAGGGGGTAGTAGAGAGCCGGCCCGGTGGATGTGGGACGGTTCAGGGCCGAGAGAGTAAGGGCTGAAGGAGGAAGGGCAGGGTAGTGGTGCCTTTTGATGATGAACCCGCGGGGGTGGCATGCGGGAGCGCAGGTGCTGCTATGTTGTGGCGGCGGGTCGGGGATGCATTGGGGTTGTAGGCGGGCGGTTGATAGGGCGCGGGGGCTGAGAGACGGGGAGGGGCAACGGAAGGCGGGGCGGAGGGGGTATGGCAATGGGGGTGGTGCTGCGAGGTGGTGGCAGGCGGGGTAGCAGGCATTTGGGGCGACGGTAGCGGCGGCGGCGGGGTGGAAGCGGCAGTGGGGCAGTGACAGGGCGGCGAAGTTGCGAAGCAGCGGCGGCGGCGGCGAGTCAACGGCGAGGGAATGGCGTGGAGGGCCCGCGAGATTTGGGGTGGTGACGGTAGGCGGCTCAGCGCCCGAAGACGGATGGCGTGGGACGAGCTGCAGGCGGACAGCTCCCGGCAGGTGATAGCTGCTCAGCTCGGCCTGTCCTATCCGTATCCGCCTCCGTGCCAATGCTGCCATGAACACTGGCTCTCTCCGACGTCCCATTCATCCGCCTCGTCATTGACCCGGAGATCTTTCAGACTACGGTATCGTTTTCGTTCCGTCATGTCTCCTCTTTATCGTCACATTTTCGTTTTTGTTATCACAATGTCTCTCGCCTGATTCTGGTCACCCCTTTTTGAAATTCAGTACCTTCGAATATCCCTTTCACTGCCAATTTTTGGTTGGTTTAATTTTTTTCTTTACCTTTCAATTGAACCTGTCAGTTTACACTTATGGAAATGTATTATGCAGTTTTAACCATTCGGGTTTCTGACTCTTTGATGCCAGGCGAGTTCACACGATATTCTCCAACCCTCTCTCACTGTTCTCGATCCAACTATAATATTCATACGTTAGCGATCGTCCTGTTTCTTTCATATGCAGTATCTTAACAATCTATCGCCCCTACTTTTCGTTTCACAAGTACCTCATGTTGACTTTCTCCTCTATTTTCCCTGCTAGGTTATCGTGCCTGGATACTCGATTCGTCTGCATTAACCCTCCAAGCTGATTCACACATTCAGCACGATTATCCTCTTCATCTACTGTACTTTTTATCTTCAACCCCAAATTCCTCGCTAACCCCATCACATTTCTTCCTCATTCTCTGAATCTCTTAGCTTCGTCAATTGCTCCCCGAGTATCGAACGCTCGGTGGAACGTAAGCGCTGGCCCTCAACCGGGCCATCCCCTTGCGTATGCCCCTCGTCCCGCGCTCACCGACCACCCCCTCTCTCTCTCTCTCTCTCTCTCTCTCTCTCTCTGTCTGTCTGTCTGTCTCCTCTCTCGCTCTCGCGCTCTCTCTCGCGCTCTCTCTCGCGCTCTCTCTCACGCGCTCTCGCTCTCTCTCTCGCCCTGTCTGTCTGTCTTTCTCTCTCTCTCTCTCTCTCTCTCTCTCTCTCTCTCTCTCGCCCTGCCTGTCTGTCTGTCTGTCTCTCACACTCTATCTCCTGTCGTTTCTCACCTCAGCTGTCGTTTCTCACCGGGGCAGCGCGCCCGTCCCGCCCGCCGTCGCCGCCACAGCCTGCGTTTTACGGCCGCGAGTCGCCGGTCCTTGCCGCCGCATACATCTCCATGCTATCACGCCTTTTTTTACTACTGCTGCTGTGGTCGTCGCTCTAGCTGCGCGCAGCCAGCCGTCGATGCACCCGGTTCTTAGTTTTATGGCGTATTTTTGCAAAACGTTTGAAAGATGCGGGGATTGTTTTATTTCACGTTATGTGTAGTTAGGATTGCATAGAAGTAGTTTATAAAAGTGAAAATATGCAATTTCATGGAATCAGCTTTGTTTTTGAATGTCAAGCTTTCTTGAATATGCTGGATATCTAAAACTTATCAACAAATACGAATCATTTGCAATGAATGTTACAATCTGATGGATTATGTGTACGAATCTCGTACAATGTATATAGCTAGTGTGCACACCAAACATTAGAAAATTCATTTACGGCTTGTTTAATAAAATATATTGGATAATTTATTTTAACTTTTTATATCCATTTGATTCTCTGATCATTATCAGACTATGAGATAGATTATGAAATTTCACAGGTTTCAGAACTCTTACGTTTTTAAACTGTATTTTAATAGCTTCCATGTTATACTATTCGTGGGTTCGGAGGTGCAACAGTTAGCGAATCGGATTACTGTAAGTAAGTTGGATGGTGCAAAAGTCATTGAAGCCGGGAAGTTTTAAGGCTTCGATCGGGTTCCCCTTCCTTCGGACGGGAAGTGAAGTCTCCTGTCCTAGACTGTAAATTTACTACAACTAAAAGATATTGAAGCTTAAAAGAAGCGCCGGTGCTAAATTCAAACCGCCTTTTCGTCGCCCGACTGATACCATCTTTCCCTGCTAGATGCTCGCACCGAAAATTGCTGATGGTCTATGCTCGCACCGAAAATTAATGGTAATTTGAATTTAACTATTGTCATTCGCCGCATATCAAATTGCAGGATCATAAACCTCGATGTAAGATACGGAACAACCAAATTCAAAAAGAACTATCTCTTGAAACCTTAAAGAATTGGATCACATAATTATCTTTAAGATTTTATTTATCGTTACCCTCCTGCCTCTTCAAAAAAATATTTCATCTTGGCAAAACTTCAAATCCTTTTCCCAGAATTAAGACTCGTCATAGTAAAGATTTCCTTCATCCTCCATGATTTGCAATCGTTTCAGAGTTTTTATCACTACAAGCTGCATCCTTTCACATTTAAATAAGAATATGAAATCTTTTACTGTACATATTCATTGTCGTACAATTTCAAAGTGTTAAATTAATAGGATGTTAATGAGAGGTCTCGCCTCAAAGATCCTCAAAAGTTATAAAAATTTAATGTCTGTAAAATGATTGTTAAAAACCTTTGTAAGCCTTTAACTGACGATCAAGGACTTTAATAATCCCTAAACCTACTGGTCCAGAATAGCGACATTTTTTGTATATTTTTTCTTGTGCTCACATCGTTTCGTACTATGTATCCCAATTCGGCCTTCGAGTTCGACTACCGGAAGAGCAGGTCTGTTTGCATTGCGGCGCGTCCCAAAGAGCGCGGATTAGGTTCAATTGAATCCGGCCCACTGGCACACGCAGCGCGCGTCGCCGCAGCTGAGCATCCGGGGATGACGCTCTCGCGCGTCGCACGACCACACCGCCGTCCCCCCGCCCCTCCTGCCACCCGCATCGCCGCAGCACCCCTACCACCGCATCACCCCCCATTCCCCAGTCGCCCTGGCGCCCCGGTTGCTTCTGCCATCCCGTCGCCCCCGTCGCCCCGTTCGCCCCCGTCGCCCCCGTCTCGCCCCCGTCGCCCCCGTCGCTCCGCGTTCGCCCCCGTCGCCCCCGTCGCCCCCGTCGCCCCCGTCCCACGTCGCCCCCGTTCCCCGTCGCCCCCGTCGCTCCCGTCCCCCGTCCTCCCCGTCGCCCGCGTCGCCGCCGTCCTCCCCGTCGCCCCGTTGCCCCCGCGTCCCCGTCGCCCCCGTTCGCCCCCGTCGCCCCGTCCCCCGTCGCCCCCGCTCGCCCCCGTCGCCTCCGTCGCCCCGTCGCCCAGTCGGCCCCGTCGCCCCGTCGCCTCCGACCTGGCCCCGTCACCCGCCTCAGTTCCGTGCCGTTGTCCTGGCCCCGACACCGTTCCGCCTCTGTCCCGTTTCTCGCCAGCCCGCTCCCGTGCTGCCTCCAACACCTCCGCTGCCCCCTCGCCACCCCTTCCCACGCGGCCCCACCGCCACGGCACCCGGCTGTTCCCTCCCCCGCCGCCTCTCCACCTGTGCCTGCGCGCTTGCCCGCCCGCCCACCCGCCCGCCCGCCGCCCGCGAGCGCAAACATGCGAGCGCCACCGGTTGTTTAATCGGCGTTGTTTGCTGCCGCCGAAGCCAGCCCGCCCCGGCGTGCCCTGCGCACGCCCCGCCGGCCCTGTCGCAGCGAGTCGTACACGACCGAGAAGCATCCAATGTATCCGATGGCACGACTAATTACCATGTTCTTGCCGGATTTCGCATTTTGAAAGGGGATTTGTCTCTCTCTATTTTATATAGTCACGCATGGCAAGGGCTTCCAAGAACTCATTGCGAATCACTTTTCAGATACGTCGGTGTGACACGACCTGGTTGTATTTATGTTTTTCTTTTTCTCATCATATGACAACTGGGAACTACATAAATAGAATTTGTAATTACATGTTAAGAAATATATCATCCAGATGCCTCTCCATGTTTACAATAATCGTAAACCAAAGAATTAAAATATACGTTTTGATTTAGTCTTCAAAAACTCTAAAGAGAGGAATTATCATTGCTAATAGGCATCAATTAATAGCTCTTTGTATACGTAATTAAATATAAATAGGAGTATTGTAATGTAAAGTCTATACAGTTTTAATAATTATATTTTTGATTTTTATTGTTTTTCATTTACCCTAAAGGATTACAGAAATTGAGTAATAATAATAATAATAATAATAATAATAATAATAATAATAACAATAATAATAATTGATTACCACAAAAATTGACTGTTCTGAAACGGCACAGATGAATAGTAAATCTTCTTTCTTTCCTCGCCGCATGATGTCAGCTGGGTCATAAGCAATAACGCACGAAGTATGAAAACATAGTCATAAAATCAGGTATTAGAAATTGCGGATGTACATTAACAAGTATTTTCATTTTGCATACAGTTTCGTTGATTTTTGTATTTTTGCTTAGGCTTCTTAGTTTCAGTCAAGTATGAGTACAGTAATATTACTAGACTAATATATTTATAACTAATTTTTAACATGATATTCATAATATTTTTTCTGTAAAAAAAGTTCAATTTCTTTAGTTTTTTGTCATTTATAATATTGGAAGTTTAATCACACCTTCATAAAAAATGGATAGTCATATTTATGTCATCACAGTAATTGTCAAGAAATAAAACTTACCTTACTCCCAAGGTGGCGTTATCCGTTCCAGAAGTTCTACCACACGCGAATGCGGTTATTTGGTGGGAGCCCTACGTTCGGATGCACTGCCTTGCCCAAGCGGTAATTCCCTGCAGGCGACCTTGCCAGCCGCCCAATCCTCTGCGTCGACCTGCGCTCCTGCAATCAGACCCAATTGGATTGAGGCGCATCCCTCTGTGTACCGAGGGGCGGTTATATTCGTCCGTGACTCCGCGAATACTGCCACTGCTGGGGCTTTCTGGAGCGAATATGCACGTGGGCCCAGGGTTACCACCGCACAACCGGGCCATGAACGACCCTTGGGGACTAGCGAGTACGGATTTCGTTAATGATGTGTTTCCGTTGCATTGCAGATACGTATTAGTGGCAAGTTGTGATAATTAATTGTATTTATGCTAAGTTTGATAATCACCAAAATGCGAGGCAGATGACTCGAAAATTAGGCTTTAAATGATTACAATGCTAAGTATCTT